TTTCATTTATCTCAACTGAATCTGGTATAAATGTCATAAAGAGAGTTTGTGCAGTGTACTTTAAGTGTAATTTAAGAAATCTACCATAAAGATATTTCCAGTTATTGTAAAACTTATGCTCCTTCTATCTAATCAATAATTCATTTTTGTAAGGAAAACAAGATCAGGTTTGTTGCCGTGGATCTGTTTGTCTCTGCTCAATTTAAACAATGCTGCAGAATAAAGATTTTTGTCATCTCACTAGATAGGTTGTGGGAAGACTTAAATAAGGATGCCAAAAAAAGGTTGGGGAAATCTTTAGTTCCCACTTTTGATGGCAACATTTTTTCCCAAGCTGCTAATAAAAGTGCTAATAAAACTCATACTTCAACTTATTTACAAACTATTGATGAAAACTGAAAACAAAGGGGCATACTGGAGAAAGAGCAGTAAAAGGATGAGCATCAACTCTTGAACTGAGCTCTTTGAGAACTGCAGAGCCTTCACTGTAGCTGACAATGACAGAAAGCACTGGAGTGTCTTTGAAGCCTTGCTGCAGTAATGATGCTGGTGCTTTCGTGCATGTGTGTAGTAGAAGGATGGGAGTAGGAACACATTGAACCATCTTTTTATGAGGTTGGTAGAGCTACAGCAGACATAAAAGGGAAGTTTAATGATAGGTGTGGAATTGAAACCTATGCTTGTAGCTTAATCCTGATTCTAATCCAAGTTTGCCATTTCAAGTACAGGATAAACTATACAAGTTTGGGTTAATTTGTTTGAAATTAAGGCAATCCAGCTAATTTTAATACCTATCCTACTGTATGCCTCTATTCTACCCTTTAATATGATGAGTGGAAATACTGGAAGAAAAATGTTCTGTTTATGCACATTATACTTGTGGTTGTGGATAAGAAATGACAGCACAGTGTTTACCATCTACCCTTGCTGGGATAGACTAAGAAAGGAAATTTAACAAATAAAAAAGTTTAAAATCTCCTTTGGCACTTGTCATCTAACTTTCTGTCAGGTCAAACAAATAGCAGCCTTTTCACTAAAACAAAAAAGTATTTTAAGTACAAAAGCAAATGCTGTGTTCTCATTTAAATGTTTTTATTAAACGGGAGCGAAACAATGGTGGCAGTGCCAGGTGTGCTAATGGATATGATCAGCTATTAATGAGTGAGAAACGGGTAAACCCTGCATTGGTCACCACTTCATCAGAAGAAAAGACAGAGAAAAACAGAACAGAGGAACATGTATGCACAAACTAGTTTCAAAGGGCTGTTTAGTGAAGCCAGTTAAAGTAAACTCCATGTACTGCTTTGTTTTTTTGACCAAGGAAGGAAACCAGCATACAAGAACACACACCAAGGTCATCCTGGAAGTAAGCCAACAGTACTAACAACTGTGGCAATTTCAAACCTTTATTGGCTTCATGAGCTGAAAAGATGGTGCTAAACATGAAGTCTTGTGAATTCCAAGATATAAGGAAGTGGTCCGCCGAGAATTAAAAAAAAAAGTATCAGCTTGAGGATTTTTTTCTTTTTTAGGCTGATCCAGAGTCAGAGAAATTCTTTCTTTGGGATGAAAACCTCAGATCTTCAAACGTTCTATCTCTTAGGTACTGCATGCCTGCAAAAGAATTTTGCTTTTCATGAAAAAAATAACAGCCGCTACAGGACATCCTAACATGTGATTTCTGGAAAGTTGGGGATGAAGATCGATATGGCTGTCAGTAGAAGTTTCAGCTTCATCATACATCCAGTGTTGTGTAGTATACAGGGGGTAACCAGAGCGATTAGCCTCTTACAACTACCTCCCAATCTGTTGGACGTAGTGTGTGCAGTAAGGTCGCATCAGAGCATAGGGCCGTAAAGTGTGAACTTTTAAACCCTGCAGTTTTCGTCATACAGTTTGAACTGAAGCTGAATACAACAATAAATAGCACACATTACATGCCAGCTTTAACTGATCCAAAGGAGAGTAAACCATCTTAATTCAATTAAATTTCAGTTCAGTTTATTTATATAGCACCAATTTACAACACAAGTCATCTCAAAGCACGTTACAGTTCACAAGATCATACAGTCAAATTAATTCAAAGTTTTCTATCT